CATATTTGAATTAAAATAAACAACATATGCATCTCTTGAGAGTAGAAAAGTACTTTGTGCTTAACATGCACCTCTTTTGCTATTCCTAATATTGTTTTCTGAAGAAAAAAATTGATACTCCCACTTTTTCATTAAAAATGTATAATTTCAATAAAGGAGCATTTATCTTTTCATCTGTATGTAACTGAACCAAATCAGCCTCCAACTTGTAAGGAAATTGAATTGTTTCTTGTTTATAATAGGATGAGTGATGTATAAAATGTTCTCCAACTAATATTGTGCATGATTTACACTTTTGTGGCAGTCAAATGTATCTCTATTAGTATTTTCAGAGAGCTAAAAAGATGACGATATATTCCGCATAATATCCAAACAAATTAGTAGGAAACTAGAGGGAAAAATGTATGCAGAAACTACATTTTTGTACCAAATTATTTTTATTAGGAGTGGAAGAATTATTGGAAAAAATTAAAACATTGGCGAACCTCAGATAATCTTAAAAAAAAAACTACTTGGTAGAAAATGTGTACAAGTTTTTTGTCCCATTTAGCTTTCATGAAATGCATTATAATCAGAGCTGGGCAAAAATTTTTAGATGACTACTTCATTTGCCAAAAATGTGGTTTCACAAATTCAGGATAGATTTGATGACTAGTCTCAGTAGAAAATTATTTTAAAAAGAAGTCTAATTATTTCATTTGATGTGTTAAAAACAAAATGTTTTCATTTTTCATTTAGTAATGATATTGGGTTTAGAAATTTATGTAGACATACAAAAAGGTAAAACACCCAAGAACTAAATAAAGCAAAAAAATATTAAAAATTAATTTTAGGTAAACTTTAAAAGATTTTTTTTAAATGTGGGTTGGCCACCAAAGTGGGAAAACTCACAATTAATTACAATGTGAGTAATTTACGAGAACAAAAAAGAAATAGTATAGTTTCAAACAAACCTGGTCAGTATTCTAAGAAAATTTAAATTGTAATTTGTATTTTATTTCCTCTGGCATGAAAAAGATTAACATTTTCTTTACTTACCTTTTACTGCAAAGCCTCTTTTGTTCTCCAGAAACTATATGACGTAGTCCAATGTTTATTTCTTTATCGTACCTGTATAAAGATCCCGTGCTTCCTATTCAACAACATACAACAAAGAACATGTATGCATTAAATCAATGTCACTTACTTTATCACAAAATAACATGTTTAATAATCTTAGAATTTATTGAAAATAGACAAAATAAATAAAATGTTTGTTGTTTAAATTCTGAATGTGTTACTTATGCAAAACACTTTGAATATGACGACAAAGTATAAAAACTCGGGCTTCATTTTAAGCAAACACCTCAAATGTTTTATATTGGCTCAGATTATCTCATTTATCATAATTATCTAAATCTCTTATCTCATGTTGTATCACACAATTGGCCTGATAATCACTTGCTTAGTGTTCAAAGAACTGATATAATATCAACACAAAGTAAACCTCTTAATGTAGGAGGAACACAAAAGAAATATAGATGAAAAGTAAAACACCGAAATCTAATTATATCCCCTAAAGACAAGGAGACACTTTTAGAATGTATATTTACATTCAAGAGAACATCATTCTCCCTTCCTTGGTTCTTCAAGAACACTGTATACACAAGGGAAAGAAAAGCCTAAAAATCCAATATTGCCGCCCATTCATGCTAATCTTGTTAATAAAAAAAATATTAAAGAACACTAGCAGGGAATGGAAGGCTTAGAGAAGAGGTAATGGGATTTAGGTCTTGATCCTACAAGCTTTCCTTTGAGGTGCCCACTTCTCATATCTGCTGATTTAAATGGAAGTTAAGCAGGCTCAACACTTAATAGAAATGAGCCCTCATAGCTTGCAGACTCCAGGTTGGAATGAGATCAAGGCCAATGGTGATGGTGACCAAATATTTATTAGTTGATGGGGATGTGTAGTGAAAAACTAGCCAGATGCCTCCATTCATCACTGAACACGTATCTCCACCATAAAATTGGTGTCACCCTTGTAGAGAGTTTCAGCAAGGAACTACAACAGAATAGACACTCTAGAGTCTCTCTCCACTCTAATGCCTGTCCTACATCATATCTGAGGAGGTTCACTAGCAAAGTACGGTAGGCAAATTTGCCAATTTTTTTTCTGTGACTCACATCTGTGGCTGAAGGATGTCACATTCTAGAGTTGCTAAGTAGCCACATTAAATTAATAATAAAATCTCATGTACAAATCATAAAAAAAACTACTAAAAGGGAATGTGTGTGCAGGTGTTTCTCTGAAAGGCGACCAAAAAAGAATTGTAGAAGAGACACTGTAAAACTGAAAATCCTGGGTACTTATTAGTGACCTTTCTCTCCTCTCATTAAACTCAATGGGAGAATTCTCATTGACTTTAAGTGGAAGCAGTGTTAGACCACCACCAAGCAGGCTTCTGAAAATACCATCCCAGATTCGCCTCTGAAAAAACTGTTTCCAGTGTTGCAGAGACTCACAATATTATACTGAATCTTGTTATATTTGGCATTTTTCTTAAACATACAGCTCCTGTAATCAAGTGACGGTCAGAGAATCTAAACAGTCATGATCATTATTTTTAAATAACATAACAGGGATCAAAGAAGAACTGTACGGACAGGGACAATGTCCCTAGCTTCTGTTTGTCGGAAGCAGGGAATGGGCGACAGAGGAGGGATCACTTAATGATTAGCTGTTCTGTTCATTCCCTCTGCGGCATCTAACATTGGCCTCCATCATAAGACAGGATACTGGGCTAGATGGGCCTTTAGTCTGACCAGTATGGCCATTCCTATGTTAGTCTTCATGGTTGCAAAAAGCGTTTAAAAACATCATACAAGTGAATCCCAAGGGCTCAGAAGGCAAATATATTTTGTGATGTCTTTATTATGTTTTTAAAGTTTCATCTCAAAAGCTTTTTGAGGCTCGACTCACAATTTGGCCTTAGCAATACTCTAGCTATAACTGACACAACTGGCCTCTGAGATTATTGCAAGAGAAACAATATTTTCTCTACTTTTCCTGCTTGTATACTTTGACATATAATCATAGCCACTGCTCTCTTGCTGACCTCTCACCAGACTCTTAAAGAGGGCACTTACCAATACGGACAGCAGCAAAGCTGTCATAGCCACTGCTCTCTTGCTGACTTCTCACCAGGCTCTTAAAGAGGGTACTTACCAATACGGACAGCAGCAAAGCTGAAAGGGAAACTGAAACTAAGGGGCAACATACAGGTGTGTGCAGAGAAAAAAAAAAGGAATAGGGCATAGTGGATCAGAGCATTTTGATGTTGCTGTTGGGAGTTCTAGTTCTGGTTCTAAACATCTACTGGGAGCAAAAGAAACCCTTATAAATTAAAGGGATTTTGAAATATTCCAGTACATACTAATTAACATGCTCTGTCAGAAAAATTCACATTTCAAAAATGTAAGGTTAACAGTGCCCCTTTAAACTCAGGATTAAGCTATTTTCAGAGAGAGTGTAACTATTACCATTATTGTATACAATGGCACATTTTTCAATGGCAATCATCACTGGAATACTCCCCCCATTGTACTTGTCAAACATGAGTGTAAAACAAATAATGAGCTATGGTCCCATCATTTTTCACACACCTGAATTAAATCCCAAAGGAATTTGTTCCACTTGGTGTAGTGTTCTACTGGGATATCTGAATAGTTTCCCTGCAGCCATTCTGCACAAAGCAGACTCACTACAGAAGGGTCGAGGGATTGTTCAATAAGCCTATAGTATCTGCAGAATGAAAATGCAATGTGAGAGAAAGATGATTTCTGGTAACTTTGCTGCTCTGTCAGCAACTCCTGAGAGAGAGAAAGCATGAAGGTTGTTTTCTACAATATATGTGACATCCTAGTTTGAAATGACACAGCTCATGTTATTGTGTGACAAGTCCCGTATTAAGACGTGACAGACATAAACCCAGAAGAACAGCTATCCTGCCAGATACAGATCCACATATTAATAGATTCTAAGGCCAGAAGGGACTTCTGTGAAGATATCACCTGACCTTTTGTATAACACAGGGCATAGAACTTCCCCAAAATAATTCTCAGCAGCTATCTTTCAGAAAAACATTCAATTTTGATTTTTAAAATTGTCAGTGATGGAAAAGCCACCATGACACTTGGTAAATTATTCCAATGATTAATTATTACCTCCATTAAAATTTACACCTTATATCAAGCCTGAATTTGCATAGCTTAAGCATCCAACCATTGGTTTATGATACCCTTCTTTACTGGACTGAAGTACCCATAATTAAATGTGTGTTCCCCATTCAGTTACTTAGATTATAATTAGTCCTTCTCTTAACCTCTTCATTGTTAAACTAAATAGATTGAGCTCCTCGATTATCACTAGAAGACATGTGTCCTAATCTTTTATTCACTCTCATAGCCCTTCTCTGAAACCTCACCAATACATTGATGTCCTTTGAGAATTGTGGACACCAGAACTGGACAAAGTATTTCAGCAGCAGTCACACAGGTGTCAATCAGATAACACAATTTCTCTACACCTTCCTGGCATTTCCCTGTTTATGCATCCAAGAAACTCATTGGCCTTGGGGCTATGGCATTACAATGGAAGCTCATGTTCTACTGATTATGCCCCATGCTACGACTCCTATTTTTCAAAAGATTCAGAGTGATAGCCGTGTTAGTCTGTAACTCTATTTTGCAGTTACCATTTTGCATGACAGATGCTCCCACTTTATAAGTAACACCTAAATTATTTGTTCCTAGATGTATACATTTACATTTAGGTGTATTAAAATGCACATTTTTTGCAAAGCCTAGTTTGTCATATGATTCAGTTTACTCTGTATTAGGAAATTATATTCTGAGACTTTTCAGTTAGCCAGTTTGTAAACCATTTAATGTGTGCCCTTTTATTTTTATATTTGCACTTTAAAGACTAACAAAACATGTAGATGGTATAGTGAGCTTTCATGGGCACAGCCCACTTCTTCAGATGAAGTGGGTTGTGCCCACAAAAGCTCATACCATCTACATGTTTTGTTAGTATTTAAAGTGCTACTAGACTATTTGATTTTTTTTTAGAGTTGTTGGTTACAGACTTAACTCAGCTACCCTTCTGAAATATTTTTATATTGTGAGTTAAGCTCATGATATTTGTTACTTTCTTGCTTCATTGTTGCTGGAAAAAGTGTTGCTTCATTTCAAATGATAGATTAAATTATTCTTCATTTTATCATCAATTTAAGTCTCGGACACATTACAAGTTTCAAAATGCTAAACAGCTTACCATATGATGCAACACTGCTGATGTCATCGCAAAAGTCACCATTCTGAAAGAATATTAACTGTAATTGTTGTTCTTTGAGACAATGCATCAAAAATGATCACCCACACATGCCTTCAAAATGCCTACAACAAGGCCACGGTGGGAATCTCATAAGCTCAACATTATGTAGCTCTGATTGCATTAGGCTTTGCCAGGCATTGCAATGGAAGTGCATTTGCACTCCTTCCTGCTTTAGTCATCAGTTCCTTTTAAAGGCAAGATGTGAATAATGATAAAACAGGTTACCGAAGCATCAGCTCCCTTCTGAAAGGAGTGCTAGAATGCTATGATGTGCAGAGGACAATTACAGGCTATTCACACTCCCTTATAAATACCCTTCAAAATAGATTCCCACTCATTCAGAATTAAGGGTTCTCTGAATGAGTATCAGCAAAAGGCAGTGGAGAGCAAAATCATGTGAATAATTTTTTTCTTGCTTTTTTTAAATATTTTTTTTTAGAGTTGTTGGTCTTTAAACAGTTTCCACAACAACTAGGAAAAGAACACATAATTTGCTCCTGAACCCTGTCTGGAAAGAGGTTTTGTGATACACCAAATCTTGATTCCCATCTCTATAAATGGCATGGCTGAAAAGTAAGCTTTACTTCCAATCTGATCTATGTTCTTCGATTTTCTGTTTTGAGGTGCAGAGCTAAAAATTTACCTCCCTTTAGATCTATGAGAGGTTCCTACCAACACAAACTGACAACTGCAAAAGACAGAAGATTTCCATGCCACAGATAGGAGGTGGCACAGGGGGAAAGAGATTGTATCCA